TGAGGTGGGAGGAGGGGAATAAGAGGTGAAAGGAGGAGGTGGGAGGTGTGAGGGAATGGGGTGGGTTGGGTACAGGTAAAGGTGAGGAGGGAGGGCGGGGGAGGGTTGTAAGGGGAAGGAAATGGGGGAGAGGGGGTTAGTGAAGTGGAGGGGGAAGGGGAATGTGTGGGATATGGAGGAGGATGGGAGGGGATGGGAGTGGGAGATGTGGGATGTGGGGGTAAAGAAATTAAGAGTTAGCTAAGAGAAAATTGAATAAATAGAAGCGCATTTACACGACAACTGTCATTTTGTACAAGGAAGGAGAAAGACAGGCAGAAATGACAGAGAAAAAGGAGAGGGAAAAAAGAGAGTAGAACTAACCAACAACCTGATTGGGGCGGAGGGCGGGGGGGGGCTGGATTTGAAACAAGACATTGGCCGTTACTTTTTGCCACTCATTTCTCTGCTCGGATGCCCTCAAAAAACTTTGGCAGTCCCTTTCAAACCAGGAGTTGAAAGCATCTATCGCATACAAGACCTCATCCTCATTATTCATCATTGTCATACGTCAAATTCGAGGTGTCCAGACAAAGCAAATAGCTGTTTTATTTTGCTCAGGATATCATCTTATTACAAAATGTGTTATTCATCTAAATCTGTTACTATTCTGAGAATAGGAACAAGACCGGGACAGATCAATGTACGTCATCAAACTCTACAACATACTTGATTTTCATTTTGTTCGAAATTTTGACAAATGACAATGTTGAATGATAGCAACAAATTGGTCCTTTTTAAGGACATGCAGGCTAAAGTAGTGACCAAAACTAAAAGTGGGCATTGCAATAGTAGAAGTTTGGTTTCATTGGTGTGTATATTTGTTTGGTTATAGAGAAAACTCTCCTTGTCTTTTAAAGAAAACTAAACAAGGGTCCAAAAACTTTAACTTTGATTTTCTCAGAACAGCATTTTTCGGGATAGCCCCCTTGCGCTTAAAAGCGACCATTTGCGTCCTAGTCTGTGACAAGTAGTATTTCCACAATCCACAAAAGAACCATTAAAAACCCCCCCAAAAACTCCCACATCTCACCTAAAACCGTGTGAGCCTCCATCGACTCACTCTCAAGGTCATTGCTGATGGTCACGACCTTGACCTGGTACTTCTCCCCGGGGAACAGCTCGGTGATGCGCACCGAGCGCTGGTCGTGGCTGGCTGTACGCAGCAGGAACACGGAGGCCGGGTTGCGCAGCACGGGTCTGTACCGCACCGTGTAGCTGTCCCACAACCCGCTGGACGGAGGAGCCCACGTGATGCGAAGGTCGCGACCCTCAGCTGTCAAGGTCAGATTCTGGACCGGCAGAGGCACTGTTTGAAGACACACAACACAGAGTGATGAGGAATTTTTTTGTTTAGTTTTAGTAAGAGTTTTACGGCACTTGCAACACAATAAGGTCTTATAAGTGCCTAAGATTAGAGATGTTACAAGAGAGTAACAAACACAAAAAAGAAGGTGGAGAGATTAAAACGATAGGTGTTTAATAGGAAAGAAGGACTAGGAGTAAACAACACCAGAGCACCCGCCAAGACGAATTTCCCTGAGTTTTATTTTTTTTAAAGTTTTGAGTAAAGAGAAGCAAGCACATGAACACAATAGCAGTCACATATAGTTGAGGGAAGAAACAAGCCAGATAGACAGAAACAACAGAGAGAAAGAAAAGAAGTAAAACCTACCCGCAGCGCCTTCCGACCACCCATAAATTATCCTGACAATATATTCCGCATAAGATGAGAAATTTTACAAGTCATTTGGTTCTGCACAACCTGCTCAGCTTAACACTAACAATTTTTAAAGTATTTTTTACCCCCTGATTGACACAATTTAGATCATTCAACTCTTACAGCACAGGGCTATTTCCAGCCCTCACTTCCCCCCAGCCCAGACAATAAGATAATTCTGGTTGTGTCTGTCATTTTATTTTTGCAGACATTAAAACGAATCTCAAAGCTGCTTTTGTTTGAAGTTTTAGAAGAAAAGATGCAGAATATTTTTAGAGACAATTGACTAGATTACGGTGAAAATACCAGACCCTCTCCTTAATATGAAAGGCGAACCTCCCATCCGCCCCCCTTAAGTTGTGATAAAAAGGTTGCGATGTATCGGCGAATGGCCCAGAAAGGGTTAATTTGAAGTCTGTCCACCCAGCCATTGAGCTGATATCCAGTAACCAGATAACACAATAAAAATGTTGAAATGTTTCTTGCCCCTTGCCAACTACTGAAACCAGTGTTTATAAGGACGCGGTATGAGAACAAGAACAAGATACAAGAAGCAAAAAGGAGGTCAAAGTAAGGGTCGAGGGTGGGGGTGGGGGGGGGATAGGACGCCTCCTGTGTAGCGTCGGGAGAGGTTGGGTAGGGGTGTGGAGGGATTGGTTGATTTAGGACTGAAAAAACTGTCCAAGATATGAGACAAATATTATAACTGGGATGACACCAGGTTATTGAAGTTACTTGGTGCTGAAGCGGACAGTAGTGCTGTAGCTGGCTGGCCTGAATTGGGATTGTTTGCATTGAGGAAACAGCAGGGTAATACATGTGGATAAAACTAATATTGCTTTTTCTGTCAGTCTTCTACGCTTATTTTTTTATTTTTGTTTTTGTTTTGTTGTTGTTGTTGTTGTTGTTGTTGTTGTTTTTCTTTTGTTATTTGTTCGGGGGTGGTTTTTTTTGGGGGGGTGGAAAGAACAAGTCGTCATTTCAGCTGCGGCTGAAGGTTTTGTATTAACA